AATATATCATTGAATAAAATTAATATATCAGTTTGTATTTCAATTAAATGAACAAACAGTAGTAATGATATAAAGAAGTCTCGAACCCTACCTATACTACAATTTTCCGAATGAGATATGTATGGATATGCCGTCAATAAAAGCTGTTTCGTGTAGGAAAACCATATAGATACCGCTCGAGTTGAGGATATTTTTGTTTCACTCTCGAAGTAGGAAATGATAGTTATTTTCCCCATTCTATTATTTCAGTCACACCCCACAGACAGCAGCCAGACACGTCTATAAACGAACAAATATGCACTGTATGAAAATTGACGCTCACTTTGTTTTAGCGCGTGCTATTTGGGTGTGACAGGATGCTTTTTTCTATGAAAATTTGATGACAGGCCTATGGTGTTTTGGGGGTTTATACTGAAAACTCAATGTGCCTCTGAGACGATATTCAAATGGCACCTGCTATGTGTATAAGTAAAGATAAACTTACTTAGACTATCAAGGTCATAGTGCGATATCTTCTGATGGCGGAATATAGTAATATTACATGATTCATTTGACCCTTCTTAATGTTGATATGTACGATTTTATTGATCAGCTCAAAATGGATAAGCTATACGTTTGCAAAGAATAAAAATAAAACATAAGGTGTTTTTTTAAGAATTTAATGTCATTTGTCCTACGTCAATTTATTTTTAAATAATTTTAATGTCACCTGTATAATGTACTTACTTCCCGTGCTGTTCTTCCTGGTATTGCTGAAGAGATGAATTCTCCTCTGTCAGAGGGATTGTATTATAAATATTTTCAGAAAGCACTCACTAATCCGAAATTGAAATAGTATACAACAATAATGCCGTTAGCTGCAACAACATGTAGAATTTCATTGAAAGTATCAATAAAAAGGCTGATTTGTCGTTAATATACAAAACTATATGAATCGCGCCACTTGAATCTGGGCTCTAGTAGTATTGGTTGGTCGGATGGATCGCTTCTTCGGTCGGAATTAAAAGGTATGAGTGAGTTTTCTCCGGGAACATAAGGTTTCCTCCCACATTATGACCCCGACGCGCTAACGTCCGGGCGATCAAGAGTGATTCATATAACTTGTGTGTACCCTGTTTCATGATTGTTGTAAAATAAAGTTGATAATTGTTTACTAGAATCTGCTAATTAATTTGCTTGAGTGTACAAGTTGTATGACCTTTACTAACCATATGTCTTTGATTAGACGTGAAAACAAGTAACGGTCATTTCAACTTTATGCATGTATGTCTGCAGATAGTTTGTCTTAAAAACAAAAGTGTAGACTCAGCATCATTTATTCTTTGTTTCCATGTATCGACATCGGACAAAGTCTGAATTAATAAATAACTTTCACAACCTTGTCATAACTGATTGTCTGAATATATATATACTTAAAATAATAACTAAAGATACAAGTGTCAACTTCGGCCCCGATAAAATTCATGTTTAATTATGCGATATTTGATTTCATATGTCCTTGTTTTCCTTTAAAGCGTAAAATATTTTTGTCACTAATAAAGTTAAAAATATACGGAAAATGTCAAAATTGATGTATTTTGTATCTTGCTTGTGGAAGTTTCGCTATTAGACTTTATGAGATAGGACTTTTAAACAGTGTGTGAGGGTACCGATACACATTATATGAGCCCAGATATCTTACTTTTGTTTTATTACCACGACAGAAAGTGTAATAATCAGTTTAAGTAAATATCCCGAAAATGAAGACGCCATTCCAATGACAGCACTGTGTCCTGATTGCTTAAAAACACATTGTCTCCAACACTTATGTGAACCACAACAGTGTTAGAGCCGCTACCGGTGTTTTTGTATGGGTTATCAACATAGACTAATCCCATTGGTAATCCATTGCCATTTAAACTTGTAGTGAGCGTATGTCCTGCATTGACGAGAATAGACCACGTGAACATGTGTATACCGGACACACCACACCGGAACGTTCCATGGACAGGGTTGTAGTAGTCTCCAATGTTCAGCTTCAGGTCTTCAAACACAATCACGGTTCCTGGTGTGGTGTTGCTACTTGAAGCATTCATTTTGGCTGAAAACGCGATCTTTTTGTTTGTTCCTGAAATAGTAAAATATCTGCTGCTACGAGGAATTTACCTCCGTGATCGTTTAAGTAGTATGGTTTCGGGAGCTTCATACACAAGCTATCAACATATCAGTGATGCTTGTTAGCGTTGTGCCTTATTTTAATGGTTAACCAAAAATGCTGTTTCATGGGGAGATGTCAATATTTGCAGGGTATTATATTTGGCATTATCTTTGGTGACCACAAATATAGCCAAAATACATCCCCAGCAAATATTACCAACTATACTTTTGATAAAACTAAAATAACATGCTATCTGTGATATTCTTTTTTGCCTGTAAATTTATTTGCTGAAAGGCTGGTCACCTACCTTTATGTTAACTCTGTCATAAAAAGAAAATCATCAGAGTAAAACGGCATAACTTTAAAAAGGTTTCGTATATTTTATGAACTTTTGAAATTAAACAGAAATTACCTCAAATGAAAAATAAATATGTCCTTGGCTAAAAATATCGATGCAATCGCTGTTGTCGATACGCAAGGCCTCCTAGTTTTAAAAGCATACGCATCACAGCTAAGAGAGGTATCACTAGTTTCATGTACCGGAAACACACGGTACCGTACTGTGCATCACGTGGTCACGTGACATGAGAGGAGGCTGCACTAACCCCTTCAGCAAAGGTCAACCAATAAGCGCAAATGCTTAAGGACTCGTACAACTAAATCATTTACTATATGTTATTACCAAACATTTTAGCTAATAACTTTAATATTTGAAGTTCAAGACTAGTGACAACTGTCTAGATTCATAGAAACATACCTTGCAAAGGCTACAAAAACTCTTTTTTTATTTAAAAAGTGGTCCACGCGTTAGATACTGTTTATATATCTATGAATTTAAGACTTGTTTATCGAAAGTTTTCAATAATTTCTATTATAAAACAACATAACCAAAAGTCGATAAATATTATGTGTGGAGCGAACGTGGTTTGCAATTTAACCATGACCTATACGAATTTATTAACTTCTTTAACAAAAAGTGTGGTTTTGTATAATGTGTGTATCGGAGGAACATTAAGAATTTGGCAAATCAATGAGGACGTTTACTACGGGGGCTTCAAATTCATTTTCACATTTAAAATATATTTGGGGATAATTCGGACATTTTTTCAATCTGTGTCTACAAAAAATAAGTTAAAAAAATATGTTCTGCTGTAAACATGTTTTATATAAATTCTTAAATGAAATGACTACAAACGCGTTAGTCGGTGTCAATAAGCGCGATATAATGATAATTGAGACCGCATTTCTACCTGTTTCTAGCCAAATGCTCCTTAAATACCAAAAATAAAAATATAATGGAGCACGCAATCACCATGATGTTACAACACCATTTGCTTACTCATGCTTCATGACGCATTGGTGCTGCTTTTTTCCCATCAAAACCGTTTCGTTACGCAACTAAAGACATCTGGCATCTTGCCAAGATTCAGCGCTTAGGTAACTCATGTGGAATAACGCGATGTCCATGTCGCCCATTTTCCACAATAATGTTCAGGCTGCTGTTAAACGTGCGAGAAACATTGTTTTTTTTCTAGTCGTGCGTCCATAATTGTTATAACTTGCCATTAACTCATTTAGAATAATTCCAACTAGATGTGCCAAAACCCAAACCATACCTTTTTTGTCCTTTCGGAAACCTTCTCGATTTGTTTCACACACATTAACATGCAAATTGTGCTTTTGTTGATATTCTAAAGTTTATTGTATATGTAATGCATTTGAACGGGTATCTGTATTCGTATATTTTTGCAATCGTTCATGATGGAAGCAGAAAAACTTAAGTTGAGCACAACCCTTAGTTAGACACACATAACTCATGTTCTCTGGTACAATATAACCTGCAAGGTACTCAGTTACAGCAGTGTTACGACAGATGATATATACATAAAGTTTTGGTTTCATTCTAAACAGAAGTTAATTTTTGACTTATTTATTTTTTCGAAGGTCATGCAATTTCAGCCATATTTTCAACAGCAATATTTACAGGGAATTAAGTAAAGAGATTTGTCGAATATGAACACAAAAAGTACGTATCGCGCTAACACAGTCCATGTATTGACTCGGTTTACCATTGGCATGACCCCTTCTGGTCATCATTCTGAAATTGAGATTTATTTGTTTAACCTTTGATTGAAAGTAGCTATTTACTTGATAAATAACTAAAATACAAGTGGAAAGTTTAGCCTCCATGTTTCTACCTCATGACCTTATTTATCTTTTAATACCTTCGACGTCTTATTTATTTTGTTTTGATGACAAAATAGTGTTGACTTTAAATGATGGAGACTTTTTATGGGAAATTAATTGAATTTGGATCACTTTTATTTCAAATGTTGCTCGCTAGATAAGCGGTAGCCTGAAAACGGTAAGTGTTAATTTATTGATTTGTGTATGCATAGAGAAGGGGGGGAGGGGTATTTTCTTTGATTTCATCTATGTTTATAAGCCATGCCTTCCTATGTCCAGGAAGTTGAAACATTTGGCTTGAAGGTAATGTCCGTACTTGTTAAATGTCACTACTAATAATGCAGCAACATGTGCAAAGCAAGGTGTTTAAATCAATGGTTGCTAAGCCATCGAACACAATGCATTACTTTTAATTGATATTTATGCATTTTTAAATATGCCATTTCAATTAATTATCGTGGGGGATTTTTTTGGTAAACTTATTAAAAGCGTTAAGTTCATTTCAAACTAAGCTTTCAATAAGTCTAGTATTCTACAAACAAATGTTGCACTGATTTCCTGAATTTCGTTGGTATGTTAATCTATACAATCATTTACCAATCATATGACTTTTTAAACACGAGATGAACGCCCTACGAGATTATTCAAAATGAAAAAAAAACATGTGTGATAATAATAATTTAATATCAAACAATGCACACAATCTACAATACTTGTGTATAATCAGTATGGTGATAGTGTTAGTTTAGTAGAAATCCCGAAAATGAAGATCCAAATACAATATCTGCACCAGGATAGAAACCACGAACGTTAACAATATCTCCAACATGTAAATTAGTTATGGTAGAGCTGGACCCACTATTGACATTGTTGTTTGGACTATAAGCAAATGCAGTTCCAAGTGTCCTTCCGTTAACGTCTAAGCCTGTGGACAACTCATGTCCAGCATGAACATGAATAGACCATGTGAACATATAAACACCTGAAACACCACACCGGAACGTTCCTTGGGCAGGGTTGTAGTAGTTCCCGTTATTCAGCCTCATTCCATTAAACACAATCACGGATCCCGATCTCATGTTAGTAACTGTACTTGTAACGTAGGCTGAAAATGCAACCTTTGTACTTGTTCCTGGGGAGTAAAATACAAGATCAGATATTAGGAGAATTTATGATCAGTTAAAGTTTAGTTTACCGGTCTTAAAATCAATAAGTTTTCAATCGCTGGTTGAAATCCAGAAATTTGGCATGCATTTACTGCGATATTTAAATTCTTATGAGATAATCCGTCATGTCCATAAGAACTGATTAATTGTTTAAAATAGTTTTAATAACATTGATCCAATTAGAATAAATGAATATATCAATCAAATATTGACAATAATATATATAAACACAATAAATCATAGCTTCATGTTTAAGAAATCGAAATAGTGGGAAGGTACCTGTGAAATCTTTATAACATTAAACAAATATAGCTTTTTGGCTGAACCAAATAATAAAGAGTGTTCAGCTTGTTGACACAACAAATTAAGAGTTTTAACACCCCGCTATCATTTGCATTAAAATCAAAAGGCCACAAGGCAAGAATTCTCTATTACTCTGTATGCAGTTTAACCAGTTATATGATGTCGTTTGGCACATACCGACGTTTTCGAATTTGTTTATTATTAATTACCAGTTATTTATTTTAGTTTACTCCAAAGTTTTTTGTTATTTTAGCGCGTTGCTAAAGCCAATAATAATTTGACTGTATCTCCAATGCCATGATGTAAATGTGTATATAATGTTTAATTATACCACTTATTGGAGAGTTAGTGAAGTGAGGTATGGTTTGTTGTGGAGTTATGTTTAAGCGTGGTAGTTATTCCCCTTGTTCTTTGTTTTAATGATTATTTTTCTCATGATAAATCTCTCATTAAGTAAGCGTGGCACCCATGGAGTAAATATGTTTAGGCTTGTTTGCTTGTTAAATGTATATTAATAAAACAGTTGGAACGCAATGAATAAGCCTTGTCTGTAAGGGACTAGGGTAAAGGCTGGACCTTATTGGAGACCAAACCTCCTGACGATTCATCCATTCGTAGGGTATACAAGCCCACAGGCCACTCAGGCCACTTCGGCGCAGACTCTCTCGGACCCGGAGGTCTAATTAACACATGACCTGAATCAACAATACTATTTACCAAATTTCTTCAGTTGTCCCGAAAAAAATCCGCTAGCCATATCATGATGTTTGGTCGTCACACCTTGGCAAAAACTGCACGGAGGTCGACAGTAGTACTTATGATCTGCTATCACATAACCAAGAGGTTAATGATTGATGAAATCGCCCCAAAAGGTCTGGCGACATACGTCTTCCAAATGGCATTGTAAAATCATGGCGATAGCCATTAGATGTCCCGTAAAAAATGTTATCTTAGGCATTTTTACAACAATACCAAAGAGTAAAAAACAGATATGCATGCCTTCAACCTTCAATATTTTACGTTGTTTTCTGAAAGCCCTTTGATCGGGCGTGCCTCTGTTACGCTAAGGTGCAAAGTCAATATTGAGCTTAGGATATTAAGTTATATCGATTTGCAACTCTATGCGTTTCGCTTTTTTATTCTTTATTTATTTTTTGTTCAGTATTATTGTATACCATATTCTTTACTTTTTCTTACAAATCAAAATAGAAAAAAAACATGATTCTCAAAAATTTCGGTACGTACTTCTATATATCTCAGAATGGATTATGACTAAACACTCGACACCTGTTTCCGACGAACTGCTGATGTAAATAGTACTATGGTGCAGTTTATAAATTGGATTCAAATATGTGTAAGCATTGCAGACAAACTACAGAACTGGAATAAATTCCTGTATGGAATGTCCCTCGGTTAAATAAATTTTCCATTATACAGTTTTTGCCCCTCAGTTGCTCTTTCCGAATAGTGTCAGAAAAGACGCACCACATGTAATAAATAACGTGTAATTTGAGATATTGTAGATGTTGGTCGCAGTAGGGACTTTTTTACGGTGGCTAAGGAATGTTTAACCTAATATCAGACCCATGAATTTCAGATTTGGTACAGAAAATCCGTAAATGTTACAAAACCAGCTTCTATCAAGCTGTAACATGATCAATGCATTAATAGAATATTTCTACCGCTGAAAACATAAGGTTTAACATAATACTTAGCAATCACTTATTCTAACCGGTATAATGTGTTGAAAGCAATGATTTGAATATAATTTTTCTTGTTCAATGGTTTGTGAATGGATGCGCCCTTTACCCATGGTCAGATATTGTGGATTTTGATAATTAATTTGTAAAAGCAAGCATGCAATATGTAAAGGTACCAGAGACAAACATCCTGATCTTTCATCTGTCGGTTCTAACACTGGTTACAATTGTTTGGACATGTTGACGTACCTGATACCATTCGTCCTGGTTCGCCTTTTTGTCCCGTGTTTCCGCTGTCTCCTTTAATTCCTTTGATACCTGTGTAAACAATTGTTACAATAATCTCAATCAAACATGATAAATAGAACATAATTATAAAAGCGGTTTTCAAAAATACACACGATACAGAGTTTACTGCTTCAATTGATATAATATATGTGTGACGTTGAGAATCCCGTATTTTGTCGTGTTTTTCACATGCTATAATTTAAATTTACTTCCCATAATCACATCCTGTTTAAAATAAGGTCACGGAGAAAATAAATACACAGTGCACATCTGCAGCAATTAATCCCTGCAGCAGTGCATGCTTTGCTTAATTCTTGAGGGGAAATAGAGTATTTCACCCTCGAGTGCATGTATTCATCATTCAAATATAAAACATTGTCAAGAACAGAACATTTTCATATTTATTTTTGAACAAAATGTTTTCATTTCAATGTACTATATAAGGAGGGTGGGGAATACATTTTGTACTGAAAATGCGTTAGCGTTTACAGGCACAAGAACACTGTTAAGATCCAATTTACTTTTAATGTTTGGTTGAAATTATATCATTGTTGGCCAATCTGGGGTTGTTTTTGTACATGCGAGTTGTAAAAGGTATTTTTTACCAAGTTTTGTTGGTATTTTAACATACAACAAATATATATTAGTTAGCAAAACAAGATTCAGGGAACATGTATACCGGAAACAACACGGAATGGCAATTGAAGTCACATGTCAACCATAGTTGCTTAATTGCCCAATGAACATCTAGATCGGTCTACTATCAGGACGGTACCCATAGCTTACAGTTAATAGAATTGGAAACGTTACGTAAATGAAGATCAGGAAATTTACAGATAGTGAGCAGCGGAAGGAATAACAAATTATCTAACCAAGTCGACAATCGCAGTTTCATTTTGACTCGCATGAAGAGAAAATGGAATCCGTACCATTTTTGAACAGGCGTAATGTCTGTGAAGAAAGCGGTACCATCAAACCTAGTTTACCATAATTCAAAACACATCAGATAGCCTTTCGGTACTGCACTGGGAGCTTTGTGTCATACGAACATTAACTTGTTGGTAAAAGTAACAACATCATTACAGACGGACACAAGGAGAGAACGCACATAAAAAGGTCCGTAAAAATGGCTTCTGAAACATAAACGCGAATCAAACGTACGGATTTCTACTCTGGAACGACCAGAAAACCAGAAAAAGCGACATCGTATACAGAATTTCACGCGCGATTCATCAGCATTGTTACACAGCACAAACTGTGAGGTACCTCAATGAAAAGATAAAAAGGCTGTAGAAAATGTGGCTTACAATAATTTCCCATGAAATGCTGGGAATATATAGCCTACTTAGATAAACAAATGGGCATAAGCAGACCTTCCAAACACGAAATCCCATCATCGATTGAAAAAATGTCAAAGTTGTTTAAAATTATCAGCATATCGAAAGCAGACAAATCAAAGAGAAAACATAAATGGACAGTCGATGGACGCATCAATTGTAAAACCATCATTTTGACTCATCATAGACAAAAGCACTGAAGCGGGGTTGCAATCAACGCCCAACAAGTAACTTTTGCGATGAAGTATATACACGCGCTTTGTTGGTAGGCGAACTGTCCTTTGGTGTAGTAATGTTTTAAAATGTTCTCTTATCGTTCGACAAGTAAATAATATGAAGAACACTTACTAAGACATAGTTTTGCAGGACTGTATCGGCCTTGAATATTACACGTTTATTCGTATGCTGTTTTTGTATCATGTGAAATTTATATTCCTCTTAACCTCTGTAACTTAAAAAACAATATATATATATATTATTTACTGAAAATTAGCATATTACTCTTGCGTATCAATTGTGGAACTTAATTGGGTTTGTATTTAATTGCAATCCTCTCAATATGCAATTATCACTGCCATTAACAATTAACAAACGTAAATGTAATGACGGTCTGTGGTAGCAGCTTTAATAAGGAGTATCATTACAAATGACCCTATTTAAATACATGCCTACGCATGCCCAGCGCCAATGTGCATGCCTAAGGTTTGTATAAGTGTCCTGTTTTGTATGGGTCCATATTACTAACTGCTCACATAGAAACAATAGACAAATTGACTACTTCATCACAGCTACATAGATACCTTAACCAAGACTGACGAATGTGTGCAATCAAGGATTATGTGACTTATACAAGAACATAAGCATACCCTCCCTGTTAAAGAGTCATAATAACGACCTTGAGAAACAAAGCGGACACACTACCACCTGTGCCATGTTGACCTGGAATATTTCCTTTTCCAACTGAATTAGAATAGTATAATTATGGATTATGCTACCTAACAAAGCAGAATGAAAATTGGTGGAAAAGTTCAAAGATACATTTTTTACTTCATGAAGATTGGAATGTAATGTTAAGTACCAAATATACCGTTTCATCCCATTACTGATACATGTTGTGATGCCTTCAGCACAACTTTTGGATAATTCCACACCGCGACAAACCTTCGAGCTCCCTGACGATACAAATGTGTTTAACGTAACATTTGCACTATGCTTAATTTATGCATCATGTTATTAAATAAGTTGAAATAAAATTTGATAATTATATAAACAGAGGCTAATATTTGATAAATGTACTGTGGAAACAGGCATGCCTTAAGTCATAATTTTTAATATATAAGAAAGTATAGTTATCCTATTTTTATGTTTAAACTATGAATTAAGCGCGATATTTTGCTTTCTATACATGTATATATATAGTGTTTGCTAATGAAGATTAGTGATGATGTTTTGTATTGCAAGACAATTCTCTCGGTCTCGCATTATCCTGCTAAAGATTTAGATAATGCCTCAAAACATAAGGCACACTATGGGACCGTAGGATCTCATGTCGATAACGGGTATCCGTTAAATTTCAATTAACGAGCACTAAATGTGTCTTCGAACCATGATAAATGCCATCGTAAACCATACACGATCTACCCCCGAATCAGAAGACCGTCTGCTAAAATAATAAATGTGAATCGCGATCAACAGTTAAGAGCATGGACCTCCAATGTTTCATACAATGGTGCCTGGGTATACGTGCCGTCACCTATCGCATATGGCTTGTTCGGCGTTGCAATAATAGTGGTAGGCCAAGGTAAACAATTTGAGAAGTTTCTTTTTCGTTTGAGTAAATTTGAGCGAACACAAGCACAAGCACATTATGATATTTTACATCTTTATTAGTGTAGTAAATATCCCGAGAATGAAGAACCATGTCCAATGAATAACCCGGCTCCTGGAGTATACAAGACCTTAACAGCAACAACATCTCCACGGTTCAAATCAAGTATGACAGTGTTAGACCCACTGCCTATATTTTGGGCTGGATTATCAACATCGACTTTTCCCATCGATACTCCGTTAACATCTAAACTTGTGATCAATTCAAATCCAGCATTGATCACTATGGACCACGAGAACAAGTAAACACCGGGCACGCCACACCGGAATATTCCGTTAACAGGATTGTAAAAGTCACCAATATTCAGCTTTTGGTCTTTAAACTCAATCACGGCGTATTCCTTGATGTGAAGTATTGGAGTAATCACCATAGCTGAAAATGCGACCTTCGTGTTTGTTCCTGAGAAGAAAAACTAAAGGGTTGAATGATATGGTACAGTGTTATAATAATGATATATAAAGTTTTGTCAAATGTATATGTATGTATAGATATAACTGAGGTTATCCCAGACTAGAAACCTATTTCCGACAACAACAACATTGTTACGGTTTGGTCTTATTTAAGTATCACATAGTTCTGTTCTTGCACCGAATTATACAGGGAAATATTTGTTATGAATAATTCATATTTTTTTAAAATATATAATGTTAAATGATTATGATTGGATAAATGGCCAAAATACAATTCTGATACAGCTATAAGGATCATAACCTTAGATGAGGTCGTGAAAACCAGGTAAATATCTGCAATATTGACATACAGTTACTGTGAAATGCCAATCCTACAACAGTCAGTCAAATCAAGTCCATATTTTACCTTTAGTATTAAAGAGATAAAATTCAAATCGATATTATATTATATATATATATAATTTTTTTTTGCTATAATAAATCTTTGTTCTGTAATTCCTGTTTAAATAGAATCATCAAACACACTTATCATAATTATAGAGCTGCTTTAAAAACCTGTTTCGTATGTTTGCTGGAATGTGTATCATTATTGTTTTAATAAACAGATGTTATCAATATTGAATGCTGAAATAGTGTTGCTATTATATTATGATTTAGGATTTTGAGCGGAATTGCCAAAGACGATGTTTTGCCTTTTCACTTTTTTTGAAATTAGTCTGACCATAATTGCTTTTTTGCAAAGTTTTAAATACATGTACTTCTCTACAGATTTTATTTACCCTTAAAAGAATTACTTAATTTATTAATGTGTTAATAGTGCTTTTGATTGTCCATATTTAGTCAAGCAAATGTGTTTTTTAGTCCCTGGTCGTAATCTACGATCAATTCGTTTCAACCAGTTTTACTGCCAAAGTAGAATAAACCTTAGAGAGTATAGTATTTTAAACAGGATTCAATGTAATTTTAACTATCTTGATTTTGCACCAGACTGTGATATGTTTCGTTTCTCACTCTCAGAGTTCAAAGTGCGGTTAAAGAATATTTGCTATCACTAATTCCTTTTGTTTTACATATGAGTATCTTTTAGTCTGTGCTACATGCATAACTGACTGTGATAATTTATACCAGGTTGTAGTGTACAGTGTTAGTGGACTCTTGGGTCTGTTGAATTGGAAATAAATAAATTTATTTCAAATGGCGGTGTAGGTAATAATTGCAATTCATGCGGAAAGCTACGTTCTTTGATAAAGGTAGTTCCCTGCTATTATCCCTTCCCTCATAACATCCCATATCAGATATTGGTGTTCTCAATTCCAACCCAGAGCCTGTTTGAGAAAAGTGTGTGAAATCCCGAACAGGCTGAGAGACTTGTACTGTACACATACAAATTAATTG